GAGTTCTTTCTCAGCCTTGAAAAAGTTCCTGAGTGGACAGTAGGACTGTGAACTTCCACTGCTTCCCCAAGAAGAGACAGTACCAGATGCCTCCTGCTATCAAGAAAAAGAAGAAACTAATTTCTGCTGTCAATCTGCTATGTGAGAAACAGAAAAAGCCAACACAGCAGCTTCATAGCCGCTTTTGTTATCAGTCCACTGAAGCAGAGGAAACAAAAAGAAGAAGCCATTTCTACCTTTTAAAAGCACTAAGCAACTTTCCTCACTGCCCAACATTTCTTTCCCCTCTCTGTGTGTCGGAGCCACACTTTCTCTTTCTCTCTCTCTCTCCCTCTCTCTCTCTCTTTCCGTCTCTACCTTTCTTTCTTTCTCAGGAAAATAAACTTTTACTTTACTTTTGTATATCCTATTCACTGTCTGAGAATTCTTCCCCCTCCACCCCCACCCGCACATGGACTTCACACCCTAACATTCGGTGGCCCGTACAGGGAGGAGAAACTAAGTCACTGAGTCACTTCTCTGCCTCCAGATAAGGAGCTCACTTCTCAGCTTCTGTCTTAAGACTGCTCCCTCTTCTGCTGCACAGCTTCCAGGACTTCCTTCTTAGTGCCCTCATTCAGATTTTGGTAAGTTTCTCTGGAAACTCTGGGAATGGTCATATGCACAAGGTTGGAAGTGGTAGCTTTCTGGTTGGTCAAGGGAAAACCCAGTCCTGGGTCTACCACTCAGGAGGGTGCCTTGGAGTGGCACTTTGTAATCACCCTTCCCCCAGGGGTACCTTAGAGGGCTGTATGCCTCCTAATTACCCCCATTGGTCTTCACCCAGACCCAGAGATGCCTGGCTATGGGGAAGATCTGTAGGTTTTGGCCTAAGTCAGAACTTGGGGATGCCCATTTTCTGGCCAGATCTCTACATCTCCGTCTGACTCAGATTTCAAGGATGCCCAATGTCTGATCAGCACCTCAGGTTATCTAGTGGGGGACGCCCCATTCAGACTCTCAGTATTCTAAGTTATGACTATTCCTAAAGTCCTTCTCCTTTTCTTTCTCATAGTAACCATCAGGGTCAACATTGCATTAAATAATATTTGGCCCAAGAATGGATCTCTGAATCATAATGCTATTTGTAACTCAACCTTCTGTTGCTGCTGGCATGGCAAGGGGGTCTAAAGTTCTCTGTGTTCAGGCTTTCTTTAAACTTGCTAGAAATCCTAATCTTCACTCTGCCTGCTACATGTTACTTCTTACTCCTGCATCTCTCTCACTGTCTTCGGGTTCCAGATAAGGTTTCTCTTTTGGCTCCCACTGTTTCCCCTCCTCTTTCTTCTTCTCTGTCTCCACCACTCTTGCCTGGCCATACTTGCTAAGGCCAGCCAAGCTCCCTCCCTGCCTGTACACCACCTCCCTCTTTGGGAGGCTGCAGGGTCAGAAGGTATTGTAAATTACTCAGAACCAGGATCTTGTCCTTTCATGACTGACCTCTTTACTACTTAGATCCTGACACAAGAGAGGGACAATCCATCTTAGCAATGTACTTCATTTCCCAGTCGGCCCCCAATATTCAATGTAAACTCCAAAAACCAGAAAAGGAACCTCAGACTCCACAAGTGGAATTTTTAAACCTGGCCTTCAAGGTCTTTGATAACCAAGGTAGACAGAGGAGAGAGAGAAGGAGGGGTGGTGGGGGCTGACAGCAGGTTCCGAGAGCAAAAAAAGCTTCTCAAACAGTGCCTGCTGCTATAAAAGAGTTTTCCAGAGACAGAATTACTCAGGAGGCTCAGGCAAGAAGTCACCAGGACCATGTCCTGCTCTGGGAACTACACCTTGTTTCCTCTAGAACCAGCTGGGTCCCTGGTGTACAGAATGCCCCAGGGAGCAGAGCATTCTCTACAAAAGGGAGGGGCACTGGAGAAGAGAGTGCTCTCTCCTTGAGACAGGACCACACTTGGCCTGCGGAATCAGGAGCCCCACCATGAGCCAGCATCCTCCACACCCATGGACCCTCTAGGACTACTTCAGTCTGATGGACAGACCCTGATTTTGGAACAAGCTCACAACAGGATGACCAAGCCTTAGGTAACTCTCTCTCTCTGTCATAGATAAGCAAATTGACTTTAATAAACATTGGGGCCACTTCCTCTGCTTTTCCTGAGTTTTCACGACCTCTGTTTCCCTCTCCTATCTCCGTCGTTGGAGTGGAAGGTAAAATACAGACCCCCTGTGTATCCCACAGCTTCTCTGCCCACTGGGAAATGAAGACTTTGCCCATTCTTTTTGTGCTTCCCAATTGCCCTACCCCAGACTGGAAAAAAATATTGTGATTAAATTAGACACCTAACTTATTTAACATCACCGGCTTCCTTTCTTGAGCCCTTGGAAAAACTTAACTGAGACTTTACATACAACCTTCTTCTTCCCTTTATCTAGGCCTGGAGTAAAACAACAGAGTTTTCTGTTCTAAGTTTATAAGTCTTAGGTTTGAAACCTTTTAAATTTTAAATTTCCATTCTTGCACACATGCTTAAACTAATGAACATAATACATCAACAGTTCAAAACTTGAAGGGTCCATCCAATCTACCACTATAGAGTTAAAATGCAAGGTTTTTTAGACTGCCTTTTGCCCACTATAGCTGCAGTTGCTAACTTACAAACATAAGATAAAGCTCACTATGTCTATGTTATCAAGAATTCAAGGTCACTTAAAACAGCCAGTTCTAGCAACAATGTAAACACTAAAAACTCATTTAAAACTAAAACTTTGAGAGAAGAGATTTATACCCATATAACTTCCTACATTGCTTTTAAAGTCTTGTGATGACTATCACTGTTGGTTTAATAAAAGCCATTGTTTTACAGTGACTTGTGATTCTATTTAAACAAATGTTTTTAGACGTGTAATGTTTGGCAGCCATTCCAAGAACAAAATTCTAAATCCAATCCTTTTAACCTCAAACTAGCTTTTAATAATAGAGCCACTAAAAGTCTAAGAGAAACTTATTAGACTTATTGATATATTAAACCATACAGGAATGCATTGTCAAATATAAAATATTTAACTTTCTTTGGAATGTATTTATATAAACATATTGTAAATATCTGTTCCAAAGCTGTTGTGAGATTTCTAAAGTTATAGTATGCCTTAATATATATCATACCTATGTAATTAATAATAATTATCTATCCTAAATTGTGTGCCACAAAAATGGCCAGATCTCCTTTGCATCTTTGACCATGGCTAATATAAGACTTTTGTCATCCACAGACAATTACTGTTTTACTTTGATTCTGCTTAGACAACAGTTTATAATCAGCCATGGTCCAAAATTTGCTTCTTTAAAAAATATATTATGAAAATAACTAAAAACTTTTTTATTTAACTTTTTGTTTAAAACACTGCTGATTTTCTTGCTTTGTTTTCCAGAGTCATGACAAGTATTAAATAAAATAACAAAGTTTATCTGATGTCTGCAGGATTTAAAAATGATTCAATCCTGCCTGGCCCAAACTTATTTCACTGCTGTCTTAAGGGCCGATGTAAAGGGATAAAATTAGTAAACATCTGATTCCCTTGTCATCTTTCTCCTCAATTTGTCCACCATCTACCTGCCAGCAGTAAAACTCACTTGACAGCTTCTTAAAGAAACCACAACATTTACAGCCTAGAGACTAGATCTTACTCAAGGATTTCTCAAGACAAACTGGGCCTCTTCAACTGTAAAAAAAAAAAAAAGTCTTTTAAATAATTCTCACTACTACAGCTAAACTTCTGGGAATTCTGTACTGAATTCATCTCTCACGGCTCAAGCCTACAAATCCTCAGAAGAACCTGCTTCCACCCACAGCAAACTGCCTGAGAGTCCACTGGGGGCTTATACCTGCCAGCCCATCATGGACACCAGACTCTGATTCACTCAACAGAAGCCTCAAACTGTGAGCTTTAAAATGCTGTGGTATAGAAAACATCTTACTGTTCTTGTCCTCCTCCTTATACTTCAAAGTATTAATACCTAACTCACATACCAGGACTATCCATCCCCCTTTTGCCCATGCTGAGAAAAAGATTGTTGTTTTTTTTATTGACTGGTCAGAAAAACTACAAACTAACCTTCAAAACATTCTAAAAAAGGACTAATACACTTTATGAACAGACCAACTTCTGGTAGATTTATTTGACTGATAGACTTTAAATCCAGTATATGGCCATGGTTCTCTTGATTAGCTCCTTTAATAGGGCCTCTAGTAGTTTTGCTTTTAGCTCTCATTTTAGGACCCTGCATTCTCCGCTGACAGCATTCACACAAAGCCAATTTCAAGCTCTAGCTGTTTCTCTTCATTGAAACCCCCAATCTGCCTCTAACCTTACTTTAAACACTTTCCGTTACAAACCCCCACTCCCTTCGTAATACAAATAAACTAATAAGGACATCTCAACCCCCATGTTCAGCAGGAAGCAACTCCAGAAGATGAGACCTCCACCCATAGTCCCCAGATTTTGAGTTCATTAAATAGAATTTTTTCCTACCAAAGAGAGGGGGAAATGAAAGATGGTCTTACTAATAACCTATCTAACGGGGGAAAATAAACTTTCAAACAGAAAGTAAGAGATATAAATTCACAACTACCCTTTGTTTAATTAAAACACATGTGGCCTAGTTACCTCTATCAAGAAGAATGAGGAAACCTCTTTTGTTATCAGTTCACTGAAACAGAGAGAAAGAGAAAAAAATGGCCATTTCTACCCTATGAAAGCACCAAGCAACTTTCCTCGTCGCCCTACATTTCTTTCCCCCCTCTGTGTGTCGTCGCCTTTCTCACTATTTCTTTCTTTCTCAGGAAAATAAACTTTTACTTTTGTATATCCTATTCACGGAGAATCCTATCTATCCCCCGTATGGATTTAACACCCCAACAGCTACTACGAATAACTAACACCGTGAACATTCGTGCATAAGCTTCTGTACGGACATCTCAGTTCTCTCGGGGTACACATATGCTCACCTAGGAGTGGAATCGCTGGGTCATACGGCGATTCTATGTTTAGTCCTTTGAGGGCGTACTGGAATGTTTTCCAAAGTAACTGCGCCATTTTGCATTCCCACCAGCAGTTTTAAATTTTTTAGACAGACTTGGACACCCTTGGCCTGTGATAACAATGAAAATCAAAGGCAGCCCCATCTCTGCCTTGCTTGGGTGGGAGGGAGTAAGCTGGAAGAAATTAAAAGGGTGAGGACAGGCCGGGCTGGGTTCCCCGGGCGACTGGAGGGCGCTTGCGGTCCGGTCCCGGCAGCCCCCGCGCGCGGCCAACGGCTGGCCGGGAGAGCGCTGGTGCGCGCCAGAGCGCCGCTCCGCCCGCGCTCCAGGCTAAGCGCGACGGGCCGGCTGGTGGGCGTCAGGGTGGGTGCCAGTGTGGGTGCAAAGCACTTCAGGGGTGGAGGCCATAGTACAGGAGGAGGAGCATGCAGTGGGTGGGAGGGCTCCTGGGTCCTAGCGTGTGAGGCTGCATTCGCTTTCATCCGCTTTGGTTATGAGGTGTTTTCCGGCCGTCTTCCCCTCACCGCCAGTCCAGACCAGGTGCTGACAGGGCGAGGAGAGGGCACGATCCACTGTCTGTTCCAAATGAAGCAACACTTGGGTTCTTTAGACTATGGGAAGAGTTTGAGAATTAGGATTTTATCCCTGTTCGCTTATTTAATGCTTTTCCACAGGCTCCTATCTTTTCCGCCACTTAAGCTCATTCCTTGAAAATGCTGCCGCTCCCCAGCACCACAGCTTTACATGGGGCGCAGTGTTAAAAATCCACTTACATTGTGACTACTTTTTCTTCCCTGTATTGTACAGACTGGTTACCAACCGGGCCCTGTGTGAAATCTTTAAAATTCTAGAATCTGTGTTCTCCATTCCGTTTCCTTCCTAATGCCCTAGATGGGGCCGTCCAGCTTTTAGGACAATGACTAGAAACTGATTATTGACTCTTTCGCTAGTCACCCTACTTTCCACATTGGCGGAAGGCATTGATTTCCAAAATAAAAATCTGACCCTTTTACTTCCTGTTTTAAAAACTTTAATGCAGGCCAGGCGCGGTGGCTCACGCCTGTAACCCTAGCACTCTGGGAGGCCAAGGCGGGCGGATTGCTCGAGGTCAGGAGTTCAAAACCAGCCTGAGCAAGAGAGAGACCCCTCTCTACTAAAAATAGAAAGAAATTAATTGGCCAATTAATATCTATAGAAAAAATTAGCTGGGCATGGTGGCACATGCCTGTAATCCCAGCTACTCGGGAGGGTGAGGCAGCAGGATTGCTTGAGCCCAGGAGTTTGAGGTTGCTGTGAGCTAGGCTGACGCCATGGCACTCACTCTAGCCTGGGCAACAAAGAGAGACTCTGTCTCAAAAAAAAAAAAACAAAAACAAACAAACTTTAATGCCTTCCCAAACAATCATCATGGACTGCGAAAGCTTTCATAATCTGGCTTCACCCAATCATTTCATTATAATTAGTCTCCCTTCATCCAACCCAGGAAACCTAATGTTCCAATGAAACAGAGATGTGACATCCTGAGTACAACATACATTTTAAGATTGTTGTACTTACACCCACAGAGAAATAACAGAAGTTTCACCCCTAAATAATAACAAAAGGGGCAGTCTCAATTATTTTTCTTTGGAAAGTAGCCTGAACTCCAGGTAGTAGGGGTACGGATCCAATAGTGTAGGACTGATCAAATGGAGGTGGGGGGTGACCCCTGCCTCTGGAACACTTCCTCCTCTTTCTCTTCACCTCTCCTCCAATTAGTGAAATATTCATCTATCAAATGTCCCCTTTAAAATTCATAGCTGCTTCTTTATGACCCCACTGTCTTCAATTAAAATGTCCTAAAACAATAGAAAATATTATGTCCCATGTACAAGGATGATCCCAAATTCTATGAAATATTTCATATATGTTGTTCCTTTTGTGCTCCCTAGTATATTTATATTTCTGTTATAGCACTTCAATTGTCACATAACTGTTTCCATATATGTCTTTCTTCACTGTTTCTGAAACATAGAGGCTACATTTTACTTATCTTTGTATCCTTAGTGCCTAGTACAGTATGGTATTGAATAAACAAATGCCGAATAAATATTTGGTAATGAATGAATAAATGTGTTAGTCATTATTTCTGACTTCTCCAAGTTGGCAACTTCTTGAAAGAGTATCTAATCTTAATCATTTTATCCCTAGAACGTGTTAATTACTGGCATATATTGTTTCCAATTAGTGCTTAAATGGATTTTATATATTCCATTCTGTACTCATTACTATGGTTTAATGTTTTATGTTGGTCACTGACACAAGATCTAAAACTGAAAAGAATGGGCTGGCTACGGTGGCTCATGCCTGTAATCCTAGCTCTCTTGGAAGGCGGAGGCGGGTGGATGATTGCTCAAGGTCAGGAGTTCGAAACTAGCCTGAGCAAGAGCGAGACCGTCTCTATTATAAATAGAAAGAAATTAAAACTGAAAGGGCCTTAATCGTCTAATAACAACTGTTCATTTCCTACAGATAAAGATACGGAGCAAGGAGAGATCAGGTGATTTCCCACAGCAACCAGAAAATACTGGGTCTAGAATCAAGTTCTCAAATTTCCCAGGTTAATACTCATTCTACTACATTTTGCTACTTAGATTGAATATATGAAACAACTTTACCACTTTAATTTTTTTAACAACACCTACAAGAGATCCTCGTCATCCCATACCATTTATTTCAACAAACATTTTTGGAGTTACCTACTCTGTTAAAAACATTTGAAACTCCTATTTTTAAGTTGCCATCTTGTGGAGGATCTTATAACCCAGTGTTGATAAAAATACTATTTCGCAAAAGAAAAAAAAGCTTTGTTTCTCTTTGGGTAGGAATTTTTTAAAGTTGTAAATTTTCCTTAGTTTTATTTCACTCTCAACCTTAATAGTTTGTAAAGTCGTATTAGAGGTCTTCAAAAGTAAAATTTCTTTTTTTTTTCTAGGTTTTCTGATCCTTTCTATGAGTTTCACCATCTGTGGTCTTTACTAACAACTGTGGTTTAATCAGTTGGTAATAGAGAAAAATCATTAACTAGGAGAGAATGTCAAATCTAAAAATGAAAGAGGCAGCCCTTATCTATTTTGACAGAAGTGGAGGCCTCCAAAAGTTTATAGATGATTGCAAGTACTACAATGGTATGTGCAGCAAAGGTGACTTTATTTTAGAAACTCTCAACTAAATTCCTACATATAACAATCCTGATTTTTACATTTGTCTGTTTTCACAGATTCAAAACAAAGTTATGCTGTCTATCGATTCAATATTTTAATAAATCCTTCTGATGTTGTTGAGTTAGATGCTGAACTTGGAAATCACATTTTACACCAGCCTTTAAAAGCTGCTCAAGTTTTCCAATCAGTAAGTTAAAGAAAGAAATAATTTTATACCACATGGAATTTTTGGTAACTTTGTTTGTTCGTTTGAAATTACAGGTCTGTTTTATTGCTGTTAAGACTCTCTCATTAATTGGACAATTGCAGACAGAAACTCAAGTAAGTTTTGGTGAAATCGAATAAAGGAAACTCAGGCACAAACTTTCACGATGACTTGTAAATCAATATTTTTATATTTTTTATTTATTAAAAAGTATACCTTATTTTTTCTAAGTTCAATGGAATATCTTACATGCACATCATTTCCTATATTATCACTTATAACATTAAACACTTCTATAATAAAGTATTTCAAACATACTCAAAACTAAAGAGAATAATACAATGAATTTCTATGTATCTATCACTCAGATTCAATATTAGAATATTTTGCCATACATGCATCATCAATTTTTTTCTGAAGTATTTTAAAGCAAATGCTAAATATTCTATTATTTTATCTCTACATACTTTCGTATCAACCTCTAAAAACTATGGACATTCCCCTCTCCCTCCCTTTTTACTACACTTGATCTTAGCCAAAAGACTGAGAAGTGATTTCCCTCCCTTTTTTTTATACCAACGACTTTTTGAAGAAACTAGTTAATTCTCCTATTGTTACATAACCTGAATTTGTCTAATGGTTTCCTTGTGGTGTTATGTGTCTTATTCCCCTAAACCTCATATTTCTAAAATAGGAATTGGCTCTAGAGGATTTTTAGATTCAGATTCAACTCGTTTTGATAAGAATACATCATAGTTGATGTCATATATTCAATATTGCACTATATCAGGAAGGTATAATATCTGTTGTCCAACTTTTAACAATGTCACAAGTGATCAGTGGGTTCATGTGATGTCATTCTGAACTCTCCATTATATGGTTTCCCATCAACTTTTTCCTAATGGTTTTAGCAGTCATTGATATTCATTGACTAGAATCCATTATTTCATTAGGAGTTGCAAAATTATAATTTTTCCAATGTTAGCATTCTTTCTGAATTTATTAGCTAAAATTATTCTATAAAAGAAATTTTCTTTCATCAACTATTTAGTTACTTTGAAATATAATTTATACAGGAAAGACAGGATAAATGTTTGATTATTTGCCTTTATATTTTTTCAAAGAGTAACAAATTGAAATCTAGCAGTGATGACCACTTTTCTTTTCTTTTTGTTTTTCTTTTTTTAAATATGAGGAACTCATGACCTTTTAAATATAGCTGATTTAATATAGCTGTTGTATTTCAATGAATCTCTGTTATCCTTTTAATGCTTATATTATCCTACCTTCGGTCATTGAGAATCCCTTCAAATTTGCTCCTATGTCCTATTGACATAGGCTGTTTGTTTTTTATAGCTCCCTTGGTTTCAAAAACAAAATGTCCCAATTCTATCTTGTATATTTTCTGTGCCAGACTTGGAATCAGCCATTTCCCCCAAGGAGCCCTGGTTCCTTTTAGTGAGAAATGATCTTTAGAGTTCACAGTCTGGGTACTAGGAGTGTTCTTTGCTATTGGGTTGACATTGTTTTTCAAGTCTTTTCAGTAGTATTAGCAAGGAAATGTGTATATTTAAGGAAAAATAATGAGTTCATAATGGTATTTTCAGTTAAAAATGTTAGATTACAAGATTTTTACTTCTTTAACTTTATTTTATTTTTTCATTTTTATTTTTAGCACACAGATGGTCACTGAGCTACTTCTTTAACTTTACACTTGAATCTTTTCTCTTATGCTTAAAATTTTGTTCCTAACAACATTGACAAATCATTTACTAAATTTGCTCAACAGTATACTTACTATATTATAATGCAAGTCAAATGGGATCTGCAATTTTAATACAATTTTTTTGTTCTTATTAGATTAATATTGTGCTGAAATTAACACATTTACCTCCTCTGCCAAGTTATGGTCTCAATCTTTGTGACTTTCCACTTGATTATACATCTCAGAGATTTTATATGATGCAAGGAATTGTGATCGCAATGACAACAGTAACTAAGTATACACAAGGTGCAAGATTTCTTTGTTCAGATGAAGCATGCCCTCTTTCAGAAGGTAAATATTAAAATGTAAAATCAAAACATCAAGCAATTTATTTTTTAATCCTAAATCGTGTTTATAATTAGTTAGGAGACATAAAGTAGGAAGAATAGAATAAAATTTGATATCTCCTAATGTTTATACATTTGCTTTGCATAATCGTTAAATACATTCTTTCCCCTTTTCTCTCCTGCCCCCAACTTAACAAGTGTACCTATGTTGCTGAAGTACTTGTTCTTCTCACACATTGTTTCATGACTGTTCACCCTGTTCCCTCTCCATTTAATGTCCTTCCTCATCCCTTTGTCTTGACTTCAGGTCAGTCCTTCTATAAGATATCTTTTCCACTTATCCCTAATTTTCACTGGGTTGAATGCCCCTCCTGTCTTCTGTCTGAGCAATCTGCAAATGAATATCATATATTGAAATTATCTATTTCTCATTGCCAAATATAGGAATTGTGTGTTTAAGTATCCATATTATCAGTACCTCAGCATAGTATCTGGGAAGAAATAGCTATGCAGTAAGTGTTAATTGAACTACTCTGAACCCAAGTGCAAAATTGAATTAATTATACTTGGAATTAAACTAATTTCAAAGGATTGAAAATAGCTAAGTCTGAAAGCAAATTTAACTTATCACTGTTTTCTTTCAGGATTTCAGTATATAAGAGTGCATGTGCCTGGTGCTACAGAATCTGCAACAATAAGAAGTGACTTTTTGTGCAATCTATGTGCATCTTCACTTCAAGAAGACAGAAAATTTAGAGTACTTGGTGGTAAAATGCATTTACATTTTGCAATTACAATTTTTAAAATACTGTCTGATATTTCATGTGGAAATTAAATTGAATGTATATTCTAATATCTAATTCTTTTTCACTTTGCCTTAAGATAAACAGATAGTTGAAATAATTACCACAAAGGCACTTCAGGCTTTTCAAGGATATTCTAACAACCAGCCATTTAGGTTCCAATCTCTTACAATTTTCCTAAGAGGTGAGTAAGTTCTGTTTGAACTCAAAATAAATTTCTATAAATTATGTAATTGACTTGCTTATACTTATATATTATAAATGGTACTTCTATAGCTTAAGAATCATGTCTTCTTATTCCTGAGTGTTTTAAAAAATATTCATATTTAGCTAATTTATCAATTATTCAGTTAGTCATACAACATTCACTTAAAATGATATTAGCACCTGCTATGTCTATAGCACTGTTCTACATAAGTCACAGTCATTATAAGGCAGTGATCTCTCACTATTCTGTGTGTGTGTCTTAAATAAATATTGGAGTTATTGCTCAGCCCTCTAGAGCTAGAGAGGGAAAAAAAATGGAGATCATTGTTTGATCTTCACAGAAATAAGTTAACCCTTGCTCCTCCTTGTCAACCTTTCTTTCATAGTTTTACCACCAACCAATTTCTAAGTTTGGAATGGAGGAACAAAAATTTTTAGTATGATTTTTAAAATAAACTTTGAATTCATGCAAAGCTTTGCTTGGTCTGTAGATACAAGAAAGGAACCTATGGCCAGGCATGGTGGCGGCTCACGCCTGTAATCCTAGTACTTGGGGAGGCCGAGGCGGGTGTATTGCTCGAGGTCAGGAGTTCGAAACCAGCCTGACAAGAGCGAGACCCCATCTCTACTATCAATAGAAAGAAATTAATTGGCCACCTAATATATATAAAAAAAATTAGCCGGGCAGGGTGGCACATGCCTGTAGTCCCAGCTACTCGGGAGACTGAGGCAGGAGGATTGCTTGAGCCCAGGAGTTTGAGGTTGCTGTGAGCGAGGCTGACACCATGGAACTCACTCTAGCCTGGACAACAAAGCAAGACTCTGTCTCAAAAAAAAAAAAAAAAATAGTGACACTGTATAGGGATATTATACTAAACAAGAGTAAATATTACTAACTCAACTACTGAATTTTTACTGGTTCTGGATCTTTAAACCATATGTCATGTGCAAGTTTCATTTAATGAATATGCATTTTCTTCTTTGTTTATAATTTTAGATGAATCAGTGAATAAAATGAGTATAGGAAATGAATATAAAATTATTGGAATTCCAACATGTGTAAAAACCTCACAAACTGTCTGTATAGAAGCAAATAGCATAACTTTTTGTAATTCAAAAGGTAAGGAAAACATAAATATCATATATTAATAAATATTTAAATTTAAATCTGTTCATCAATTATTGTTCTCCTGTGTGCTGAGCACTCTTCTAAGCATTAGGAATACAGTTGTAAACAAGATAGTCAAGGTTCCTGCTCTTAAATTGTATGATAGACAGATAACATGTAAACTAATCAATAAGACAATTTAAATAATAAGTGCTATGAAGGCAATAAAACGGATAATATTGTGGAAACTTGCTAGCAGGCAGGACTTCTTTCTTTGATCTAAGTTTTATTTTTATTTTTTTAAAATATAATTAGCAATAAGAAAAAATGTTTCAGGATGCCAAGAGTTAGAGATTACTACCCTTTATTTTCTAGCTAAGGCAATTCTAAGTAACTGTTTTGGTCTGAGAAAAACTACAAAATGGCATCATTTTCCTCAACTGAGTTCTGAACCAATCAAGAAATAAGATAAAAGTCAGGCACAGTGGGTCATGCCTATAGTCCCAACTACTCTGGAGGATGAGGTGGGAGGCCAGGAGTTTGAGATCAGTCTGGGCAACATAGGGAGACTCTTGTCTCTAAAAAAAAAATTTTTAAATAAATAAGATAGGCCAGGTGCAGTGGCTCATGCCTGTACTCCTAACACTCTGGGGGTCCAAGGCAGGAGGATCGCTTGAGGCCAAGAGTTTGAGACCAGCCTGAGCAAGAGTGAGACCTCATCTCTACAAAAAATAGAAAATTAACCAGGCAGGAGGATTGCCCGAGCCCAGGACTTTGAGGTTGCTGTAAGCCATGATGACACCACTGCACTGCAGCCTGGGAGACAGAGTAAGACTATGTCTCAAAAAATAAATTAAATAGATAAATAAATAAATAAGACAAAAGATAAAGGCAGATGAGGGCCAACATATCACATTTATTACTGATAATTTCCTTTAACAATTCCAACATATTTTAGCATTAAGTAAATAAAAGTAGAGCACACACCTTTTATTTTAACTTGACTCACAAATATCTAAATGTAGGAAAGCAGGGTTAAATCTTGAGTAGAGTTGCATATTTTAGAATCCATAGATAACCATCTATAGTAATAGAGACCCATGTTGAATTTAAATGTAAGTAGATTCTAGATACTTCTACTTATCTTGAAGAGAAAAGCTTCTTAAAAGAACAAAAATGTTGGAAGAAAGCATGGCTGTTGCTTATCTCAAGATTTATTGATTTTGGTAGCAGAACATGACATATATATAAATAGGTGAAGAAGTGTGCTTTCTTATGCTGACCTCCAGAATTAGCCAAATTTAGCCTCCCAAATGTGGCAAGAGTTGGACTAAAAGTAGGCCTCTCTTAGTCCATGGGCATGAGTGAGTAGAAGAAATCATTGCTCTATTTGGCAGCCCAATGGGACTGGGTTATACATGCACTGCTTTTCCTCCCAAACTGACCAATTCTATAAATCAGTCCTTCCTTTCAGGAATTGGAGAGGTCAAGAGGGTGGAGAAAATCTAAATGTTACAATACAATACTGTGCTTTTAAACTAGTAGAATATAAATCTTTCCTTTTAACAACAGCATTCAAATATTTCCCATTGTACTTATTATCATTCATCAAAAGTGATACTATTTCAAACATAGACATATAGGTGCAAATAGCAATACAGGGGCTCCATGATCTGCCTTTGCTCACATCAATCTTAAAAGAAGAATGAGGGATTTTCCTGGTGCCCACAGCCAGTGTATGTGAAAACACAGGGTGACTTCTTCCCTTTATTACATTCCCTGGGTCAGAAATGGTAGACTAGTGTGACCTCCAACCAAAATTTAAAATCATTATAAGAATTTGAATATGGCATCATTTAAACTGTAATTTGATATTTTAGATAAATGGAATCAAATATCTATAATGTTGTTTTAATATATCTATAATCTTGTTTTAAAACTCTTTCAATATATGTGTCAATATTTACTTTCAGTTCCTTCAGAAATTAGTAACAACTTCAGGTGTCTCCTCTCCTTGACTTCCAGTTCATGCTGGAAGTTTACAGCAGTACTTGCCAATATCTTTGCATCACAAATTGTTCCTCCTGGGACTTACAATTTGCTCAAGCTCTGTTTGTTGATGAGTCTTGTACAGACAAGTGACCGTAAAAAGGAACTGGAAGATTGCCTGGATATTTTAATTATAACAAGTGATACTCTACTAGTAGAGAGGTAAATATATGACATGAATTTTTTAAATATTAATTGGTCACAGGTTTGCATAAATCTTTCCCATGAGCATTATTATAAGAAGAATATTTAGATTTTATCTGAGCTAGTATAATTATTTAAATCAATTTTTATCAATAAAGTTTGAAACTTTCAAAACATAAATTGATAATTGAGATACTTGATTTCAATATTTTAAGAGTCTAACCTCTCAAAGTTTCAATCCATTTCTTTATTTCTTTATTTAAATAAATAAGTGAATTTATTTATTTATTTATAAATAAATGCCAGCCAGCCTTCCTTTTCCCCCATTCCCTAGTTCTATATTCTACTTTTGTGCTTTTTTTTTTCATTTTTAAATAATCTCTCCCTAAGGAGCCAATATGCCATTTTCTTATTTTTCTTCAAGATTCCATTCAATAATATTGATTTGCTGTACCTAAAAGTCTCTCAAAGGTACCAAATTTACTGTTTTGGGGGTGCATCATCCTAACTTTGGAATAAGCCTCTATTTAACATTTTGTGGCTCCCCATTAGCAAGTACCCTTTTCTTAAAAAGTTATTCAAATGTTCACAAAGCTTAGAATAACCTCCTTTAAAAATATCTTGTATATAATTCTAAAGCAAAAATAAATTTACAAAATTAATTTAAAATAGAAAAAATGAAATTCAAATTACCATCAATTGAATTGTACAAATGATGTTTTGCTAAAATTAATTGCCACTGGCAATGTAAATATGATGCCAAATTCTATAGATTTCATCACTTTATTCTTCTACTCATGGAGCATGAAAGCATTTTTTCCTCACAGACTCATCAACTCTGGGTATTATCAAACTTTTAAATTTTGTAATCTGATAGGTAGAAAATGGTATTTTATCTTAATTTGCATTTCTTTAACTGGAAATAACTTTCGCCATCATTTAAATCTTATTAAACAATTGTGTCATATTTTATAAACCTCCTAATCTTGTCAATTGTTTATTTTTCTAAGTTGCTTATCTAATTTTTTTTTTTTTTTTTTTGAGGCAGAGTCTCACTCTGTTCCCCAGGTTAGAGTGCCCTGGTGTCTGCCTAGCTCACAGCAATCTCAGACTCCTGGGCTTAAGCGATCCTCCCGCCTCAGCCTCTCCAGTAGGTGGGACTACAGGCAGTCGCCGCTGATGCCAGTAATGTTATATATATTTTTGTTGTTGTTGTTGTTAGTTGTCCAGCTAATTTCTTTCTATTTTTGTTAGTAGAGACGGGGTCTCACTCTTGCCCAGGCTGGTTTTGAACTCCTGAGCTCAAATGATCCTCCTGCCTCAGCCTCTCAGAGTGCTAGGATTACAGGCGTGAGCTACCTAGCCGCTTATCTATTTTTTATTGATTTTTTGATAGCTATTGTAAATTAAGGCCTTTGTCTCTTTCCCTGTTTGTCATTAACCTTTTTTTTTTTTTTTGAGACAAAGTCTCACTTTGTTGCCCAGGCTAGCGTGAGTGCCATGGCATCAGCCTAGCTCACAGCAACCTCAAACTCCTGGGCTCAAGCAATCCTCCTGCCTCAGCCTCCCAAGTAGCTGGGACTACAGACACGCACCACCATGCTCGCGCTAATTTTTCTATATATTTATTGGCCAATTATTTCTTCTATTTATAGTAGAGACGGGGGTCTCGCTCTTGCTCAGGCTGGTTTTGAACTCCTGACCTTGAGCAATCCGCCTACCTCGGCCTCCCAGAGTGCTAGGATTATAGGTGTGAGCCATCGCTCCCAGCCTATCATTAACCTTTTGACTTATGGTATTTGGGGCTGTAAGAGAGATTTTGATTTTTTGTTTTTCTTTAGGTAAAATTTGTTTGTAGTGAAACGATCATATCCTCTTATCATTAAAAATACTCAATAAATTTTACCAAATACATACACTCCTATAACCACTACCACAATGAGATATAGAACATTTCCACCACCCCAGAAATTTTCCTTTTTCCCTCTTCCAGTCAGTTCCTATCTCCACAGGTGATTTCTGTCACCATAAATTAATTTTCCTGTTGTAGAACTTCATAAAATGGAATCATACAGTGCATCCTCTTTTGGGTCTAGTGTCTATCACTCAATAAAATGTTTTTGAGATTGATCCAGTTGTGTGCATCAGTAATTCATCATTTTTATTCCATTGTATGAATATACCATAAATTGTTTATACATTCTCCTAGTGGTGGGTGTTGAGTTTTGCATGTTTTAACTATTATGAATAAAGCTATCGTAAACATTCTTGTACAGTCTTTTTGTGGAAATTATTTTCATTATCTTGGGTAAATACCTAGGAGTGAATTGCTGGTTCATAAGGTAGATGTATATTTAACTTTATAAGAAACTGACAGTTTTCCAAAGTGATTGTACCATTTTATATTCCTACCAACAATGTGAGAGTTCCACTTGTTTCCAGCCTTATAAACATTTGGTTTTGTCAGTCGTTTCATTTTAGCCATTCTAGTGAGTATGAAATAGTATCTCATGGTTCCAGTTTGCACTTCCCTGATGACTACTGATTTGAGCTCTTTTTCATGTGCTTATTGGCTATTCATATATCTTCTTTTATGAAGTGTCTGTTCAAGTCCTTGGGTTGCCTTTTAGTTTGGTTGTTCTGGATGTATGTTCTTTGTTACACACACACACATACACACACACACATACACACACACACATATACATATATAATTTTTTCCCCAGTCTAAAGCTTGCTATTTTTTAAATTTTTTAATGGTGTCTTTGATGATTTCTTAGTTTTGATTAAGTTCAGTTTATTATTTTCTTTTATGTGTAGCGTTTTCTGTGTTCAAATCTTTGCCTACAACCAGGTCATGAAGATTTTCTTTTATATTTTCTTCTAGAAGCTTTATAGTTTTTAGCTTACTATTTATTTATTTATTTGGACGAGGTCTGCTATGTTGCCCAAGCTGGTGTCAAACTCCTGGGCTCAAGCAATCCTCCTGACTCAGCCTCCTGAGTAGCTGAGACTATAGGCATATGCTACTATGCCTCACAAGAAGCATTATAGTTTTAGCTTTTATATTAGGTCAGTTATCTATCTCGTTAACTATGTATATGATGTGAGGCATGAGTTAAAATGTTTTCTATGCATTTATCCAATTTTTCCACATCATTTGTTGAAAAGACTGTCCTTTTCCCATTGAATCATTTTGGTACCATTGTTGAAAATAAATCGAACTGGGTAGAAACTGAGTATAAAATTGAACTGGATATAAATCTATTTGAACTCTTTTCTATTACTTCAATATATTTGTCTATGCTTATACCAATACTACACTCTCGTCATTATTGTAGCCCTGTGCTCAGTCTTGAAATCAAGTGATGTAACTTTATTCTTAATTTTTAAGATTTTTTAAAAAATGCTTTTAGGCCCTTTGCATTTTCTTACAAAGTTTAGAATCAATATGTTAATACCAACCTCCTCACCAAAAAGAAGCCTTTGAGAATTTTGATTGGAATTGCATTTAATGTATTAATCAATTTGGGGGAGAATTCACACTTAACAATATTGAGTCTTCCAAGCCATAAGTATGGTCTATCTCTCCATTTATTTAGATCTTCTTTAATTTGTCTCAGCAGTATTTTATAAAGGTCATGCATATATTTGTTAAATTGATTCCTGAATATTTTCAACTAAAAATAGCATCAAATTAAGTGTTTCATTAATTTCATTTTCAATAGTTTGCTATGAATATATAGAAATACAATTGATTTTTGTATTTTGACTTTGTATTCTGTGATCTTGCATCAGTAGTTTTAAAAGTTCCTCAGGTGATTTCACTATGTAGCCAAGTTTGAGGCTCATCATTCCATATCACCATGTACTAAGCCTGGCTACATATTAGAACACCTGGGAGAATTTAAAAATATATATATTTATGACTATGTCTCACTTCCAGAGATTCTAATTTAGGGGGTTTGGGGTGGGGGGGTGCAGCATTGGAATTTGGTAAAAGCTCCCCAGGTGATTTTAATGCGGGCTAGGGTTGGTTTTATTTTAGAAAGAAACTGTAAAAGTTTCTTTCTAAAATCACTCTCTTATTTTATATATCTTCAAACTAACATCCAAATTCCTTGGAATGGCACACACACTAGACATATTTTATACCATCTACCTATCAAAATCTAACCCTCTTTTGCATTGCATGTTTATGCCTCACCCTCTTTTGCTTTACATGTCTATGTCTACTCATTATAGTTGATTGTACCAGAAAGCTATGTCTTCTGTGGCAATGATTTGAAAACTAAGCTAAGATAATCATACTCCTTTCTTAGAATTTAAATTTGAGAAATAAAGATACTGAGGCAATTAGAAAAGAGGTTAGAAACTAAAAAGCTGTATCAAGAGTTGCCAGAATACAGAGGCAGCAGGGGTAGTTATGATGGGACATTGACAAGCCTAATGCAAAAATTCAGAATAAGCAAAGAAAACAATCCATAAAAAGAGGAAGGCCCAGTTTAAATGTCATCTCTGTGTAACTTTCTTTGACTCCCTTTCAGGAAGAAATAATACTCCCTTATGAATATTCTAAAGATATTATTTTAGTACTTATTGCATTATGTTTTAGTTTTTTATGTCTCTGTTTTTAGGTTACAAGGTTTCCAAGTTAAGGACCAAGTCTCATATATGTTTTTATCCCTAGCAGATAGCTGGTATAGTATAGCACAGGTGTTCAATAAACATTGAAACAAATTAAATTTAATTGTGCAGCTATTAACACATTATGACTTCTGAAAATCAAAAGAAGTAATGGAAATTTTATTTTTTCCCCCTAGGCTTTTGAATTTTAGCATAAACCTTGTTCCTCGTGGTATATGTCATCCAGTCTCTGCTGAAATTTTTCCCACTCTATCCAGGAATAAGTATGGAACTGGAGCAGTTAGCATTCAAGCTGGCAGTGCTTTGCTAGCCAAAGGTGGTATCTGCTTTATAGGAGATTTGGCTTCACACAAGAAAGATAAACTTGAACAGCTTCAATCAGGTAAAGAGTTTTTTCAAATTAATGTTTACCTATTTAACATATGCTCTCATCAGTGTCAAGAAGTTACTTAACAGTTAAGATAGTATTGCACATGTTTTAGGAATTGAGAAATTATATTAAATGGCATTTCTCATTTCAGTTTTATAAATAAAAACAGAGGAATTCAATGTGCAAATGTACTGTTTTAGCCTTTGGTTTCAGTTTGTCTCAATACATGAGTTTGTATTAGGCCAGATTTATATCATCTTCTTGTCTTATTGCTTTAGCTAACAACTTAAGTACAATGTTGAAAAGTTGAAGTGAGAGGGGAATTCTTGCCTTGTTCCTGATCTTAGTAGGAAAGCTTCAAGTTTCTCACCATTAAGTATGTTAGTTATACATTTTCTGTAGATGTTCTTTATCAAGTTGAAGTTCTCCTATATTTGAAGATCTCCTATCTCCTACTTTGCTGAGAGTTTTTATCATGAATAGGTGTTGGATTTTGTCAAATGCTTTTCTGCATCTATTAATATAATCATGCATTTTTTTTCCTTTAGCCTGTTAATGTGACAGATTACATTACTTAATTTTTGAGTATTAAACCAGTCTTGCATACCTGGCATAAATCCTACATGGTCATGATGTATAATTCTTTTTACATATTGTTGGATTTGATTTGCTATGTTTTGTTTAGGATTTTTGCATCTATGTTCATGAGAGATTTTGCTCTATAGTTTTCTTTTCTAATAATATTTTTGTCTTGTTTTAGTATTAGGGTGATGCTAGCCAGGCCAGTTTTAATAACAAGAATGTGACCATAGCCATGGACTGGGCAAAGAGCAGGCAGGACCTTACCTTCTTGACATGTCAACAGGAATGTACAAGAGTGCTCAGGGGGCTGGGTGTGGTGGTTCACGCATGTAATCCTAACACTCTGGGAGGCCAAGGTGGGCGGATTGCTCAAGGTCAGGAGTTCGAAACCCCTCTACTGAAAATAGAAATTAACTGGCCAACTAAAAATACATAAAAAAAAAAAATAGCCAGGTATAGTGGTGCATGCCTGCAGTCCCAGCTACTTGAGAGGCTGAGGCAGGAGCATCGCCTGAGCCCAGGAGTTTGAGGTTGCTGTGAGCTAGGCTGGTGCCACGGCACTCTAGCCTGGGCAACACAGTGAGACTCTGTCTCAAAAAAAAAAAAAGTGCTCAGGGTACATAGCATATTGCTTCATCCTGCAAGAGAGGGTAGAAATAGGCCCATATTAATGTGGTCAATTGATTTCTGACCATGGCACCAAAACTAGTCAATGGGAAAACAAGTTTATTCAACAAACAATGGTGGAACATATGGTTACATGTATAGAAGAAATCAATCTTAGCCCATACCTTACAACTATACACAATAATTAATTTGAGATGGATTATAAACCTAAATGTAAACTAAAAATATAAAGCTGCTAAAAGAAAATATAGGTGGCTTCATGACCTTAGGGTAGGCAAAGATTTCTTAGACAGAATTCAGATAGCACTAAATGTAAAAGAAAAGAATTGATAGACCGAACGTCATCATAAAATTATATACATTAAAAGGCCCCATTTAAAAAGTGAATAGCGAAACAAAGAAAATGAAAATAATTGTAATACATATATTTGCCAGAACATTAAAAACTTTCTATAAGTCAATAATATAAAAAACAAAGAATTCACCAGAATATTGGGAAAGACTTGAATAATGGCTCTCAAAGGAAGGTAGACAAAATGACCAATAAAGCACATGAAAGAGTGTTTAACATCATTAGTTATCAGGGAAATGAAAATAAAAACCATAATAAGATACCAACATCAAATACTAGGAGAGCCAGCTTCATGAGTATGGAACAAGTGCAGTTGTACAGAGGCCCTCCTCCCCGCACAAGAGCTGGGCATTTGAGTTAAAATTTTGCTGTCACCATCCACCAATATTTTATTTTTAGTAATTAGTCAAAGATTTATTCAGGAGGAACTTACCATACAAGGCAGTCTTGGGTGGCATCAAGACAAGGTAGATCTCCATGTTTGCAATGCATGCCTGTCTAGTCTTTTATACCTTGTGTGGAGAAAAAAAAAAAAAAAAAGGAAAGGGGGAAAAAAAGTTACAGGTGACATGTTAAGTCATCTGGTTGTTTTCTTTCTTTACCTTCTACTTAAAGGAATTGTTTGGGTTCCCAGTGATCTGGTCAATACTCTTAAGTGTGAATGGGAGGAAGTAGTGTTTTGGGCAGTTATCTAGATTGTCTGGTTGCTGCATCCTACAACTCACTTTGTGGTCATGTACCCAGAGTACATTTTTACAATGGCAACCAAAGAACCATTACCAGTGGTAGTGTTTACTAAGGGCAAAGGGAAAATGCAGCAGAAGTCCTTATTTTTGGAAGGACACAGTGGTAAAATGCAACGGTTCTGTTACATGTAAGGGTTTTGCAGAGCCTTACACAAACTCCACTTTACCGGTATGGCAGTATTCACAGATCTTTCAATGAGCTCCACTTTGAAGAACTAATTTTTTTTTTTTATTTCGGCATATTATGGGGGTACAGATTTTAAGGTTTCAATAAATGCCCATTTCCCCCCTCCCCCCAAAAGTCTGAGTCTCCATCATGACCATCCCCCAGATGGTGCACATCTCACTCATTATGTATGTATATATCCGCCCCCCTCCCCCTCCCACCTGCCCAATACCCTATTACTGTAGTACCTATGTGACCACTTAGTGAAGAACTAATTTTAACAGCTAAATGTGAAAACATTTTGGCTTTCCTGCAAGCTTCAGTTTTTCCAATATTTCCAGATTTTCCAACACTTAGTGACTATTCTGTTCTCCAGCTGTAGCCTTCTAGGTTTTCACTCTCGTTTCTTTCCACATTCACATAGGTTCTAATTCATAAGTGGGAGCTAAATGATAGGTACACATGGTCATAAAGTGGTATAAAGGACATTGGAAAATATATATTTCATCAATCTTGTTTAACTCAAATTTTAAATAATTTTATCTTTGAATTTGTATTTTATAAGGAAATCCAATGAGACAATGGAGTAGAGGAGACACATGCATCCACGTATCTACTGTGCCTTGCTGCCCTATTTCATACAGAATTTGCAATCACTATGCTGCTTTCATAACATATTTAACATGTACTTGCTTTGATTCTTGCTAGACTCCCATGTATCATGGGTAAACTGCAATTCAGTGCTCATATTCCATATCAACACCTCTTTAACTGAGTATGAGGGGGTGCTAATAGGCCCAAGCAGCCATGCCTTCTGTTTGAACCAGACTGACTTCTAATGCAGAAAGAAGGCTATGGCATTTGAAGAAACACAAATGACCAAGGAACCGTATCATAGCCTTTCTTACTTGTTTACTTCCCTATATTTACCAATCAATTACACTGGCAATGATGACACAGAAGGAAAGGGGAAAATAGGGCAATCTCATAGTTCCTTTTCAGTCCTTCGTTACTCAGCAGAAAGCTATAGGTAGAAAGTTTTAGTGAAATGTGTGACAAAACTAGAAGAATCTTGTTACCTGACTTCAAATTATACTACAGAGCTATAGTAACCAATACAGCATGGTACTTGCATAAAAATAGACACATAGACCAATGGAACAGAATAGGGAACCCAGAAATAAATCCACACATCTCTAGTGAACTTATCTTTAACAAAGTTGCCAAGAACATGTTTTGGGGAAAGGATAGTCTCTTCAGTAAATGGTGCTGGGAAAACTTGATATCCACATGCAAAAGAATGAAACTAGATCCTTATCTCTCACCATATACAAAAATAAAATCAAAATGGATTAAAGACTTAAATCTAAGACCTGAAACTATGAAACTACTAAAAGAAAACATTGGGGAAGTAAGTCAGGACTTTGGTCTGGGCAAGGACTTCTTGAGTAATACCCCCAAAACACAGGCAACAAAAGCAAGATTGGACAAACAGGATTACATCAAGCTTAAAAGCTTCTGCATAGCAAAGGAAACAATCAACAAAGAGACAGCCCACAGAATGGGAGAAAATATTTGCAAACTACCCATCTGACAAGGGATTAATAACTAGAATATATAAGGAACTCCAGCAACTCAATAGGGAAAAATCAACTAATTCAATTTAAAAATGAGTAAAAGATCTGAATAGACACTTCTCAAAAGAAGACTTACAAATAGCCAACAGATATATGAAAAAATGCTCAACATCGCTAGTCATCAGAGAAATGCAAATCAAAACTACAATGAGATATTATCTCACCCCAGTTAAAATGGCTTTTTTCAAAGAGATAAGCAATAATGAATGATGAGGATGTTGAGAAAGGGGAACACTTGTACACTATTGGTGTGACTATAAACTAGTGCAACCACTATTGCACTATTGAGAACAGTATGTAGAGTCCTCAAAAAACTGCTACCTGTATATCCAAAAGAAAGGAAATCAGTATATCAGAAAGATATCTGCACTCTCATGTTTATGACAGCACTATTCACAATAGCCAAGATTTGGGATCAACCTAAGTGTCCAACAGTGGAATAATGGATAAAGAAATTGTAGTACATGTACACAATGGAATGTTCTATAGCCATAAAAAAGAATGCAATCCTGCCATTTTCAACAACATGGGTGGAACTAGAGAACATTACATTAAGTGAAATAAGCCAAGCACAGAAAGACAAATCTCGCATGTTCTTATTCATATATGGGAGCTAAATATTAAAAACAATTGATCTCATGGAAACAGAGAGTAGAATGATGGTTACCAGAAGCTGTGAAGAGTAGCAGGGAGGGTGGGGGATAATTTGGGGATGGTTAATGGCTGCAAAAATATAGTTAGATAGATAAATATAATGAAAAATATTTGACAGCACAACAAAGTGGCTATAGTCAACAAAAAGTTATGGTATACTTTAATAAGTTACGGTATACTTTAAAATAACTAAGAGTGGCATTGGAATGTTCCTAACACAAAGAAATGATGAATGCTTGAGGTAATGGATACCCCAATTACCCTGATTTTATCAATACACAGTGTATGCCTGTATCAAAACATCACATGTACCCTATAAATACATGCAACTATTATGTACCCATAATAATTAAAAATAAACTATTTTTAAAAAGCAGTTAAATAGCAGTTTTGTGCAGCATTTCCATTGTTCTGATAAAAAACAAAAGACATGTGAATGTGCAAAATACTAGTGGTTCCACCTATGAGTTAAATGCTCATATGTTTGCATTTAAGACAGGTATTGTACAATATAGAGATAAAATTCATGTCGATAAAATTTTGATTTTTCTCTATTTAGAATGAAAATTACTGCTGTTACATTTTTTGTAACAGTTTTATTGAGATTCACACATCATACAATTCACCACTTGAAGTATATCATTCAGTGTTTTTTAGAATATTCATAAAGTTGTGCAAAACTATTACCACTAATTTCAGAATATTTTCATCACTCCAAAAGGAAACCCCATATCCATTGGTAGTCACCTCCCAACCCTGCTTCCCCCCACCCACTCCACCATAGTTCCTGCCAAACATTAATTACTTTCCCCCTCTATGTATTTGCCTTTTCTGAGCATTTCATATTAAGTCAAACCTCAGTATCCTCAGGGAATTGTTTCCAGGGCTCTTGTGGATATCAAAATCCGAAGATGCTCAAGTCCCTTACATAAAATGACATAGTATTTGCATATAACCTGCACACATCCTCCTATATAGTTTAAATCATCTCTAGATTACTTACAATACATAATACAATGTAAATGCAATATAAATTGTTTTCTACTGTATTATTTTTTAATTTGTATTATTTGTATTGGTTTTTTTGAAATCTTTTTCTTTTTCTTTTTTTTAAATTATACCTACTGATTCTGATCTATTGAAATGTTTTTTAATCTTCAGTTGGGTGAATCCTCATATGCAGAACCCTCAAAGATAGAGGGGTGACTGTAAATGGAATCAATTTGTGGTCTGTGACTGGCTTCTTTTATCTAGCATAATGTTTTCAAGTTTCATCCATGTTGTAGCACAGCAGTCCCCAACCTTTTTGACACCAGGAACTGATTTCATGGAAGACAATTTTTACATGGAAGGCAGGGGGGCAAGGTGGTGGGGGGAGAAGGGGGATGAGACAGAGCTCAGGTGGAGTGATGGGGAGCAGCTGTAAATACAGATGACTCTTCCCTTGCTCTCACTGCCACTCACCTCCTCCTGTGTGGTGCCACCTCCCTTGCATTTCTAAGCCTCCCCTCCAGTTTCTAAGCTTCATAGAAGACAGTTTTTCCACACACTAGAGCGGAGCCTGGTGAAGGAGCCAGGGGAGGTCTGTGCCTGGTGTGTGGCCCAGGGGTTGGGGACCGCAGTTGTAGCATGTATCAGCACTTCATTCCTTTTATTTATTGTGATAAAATATACATAAAATAAAATTTCCCATCTTAACCATTTTAAGTGTACAATTCAGTGACACTAAGTACATTCATAATGTTGTGTAACCATCACTACTGTCCATTTCTAGAACTGTTTCATCATCCCAAACAGAAACTCTGTACCTATTAAATAATAGCTTCCTATTGTCACCTCCCCCCTGTCCCTGGTAACCTCTATTCTATTTTCTGTCTCTGTGCATTTGCCTATTAATAGAATTCCATTCATTTTTATAGTTGAATAATATTACACTGTATACCACTTTTTAAAAATCCATTCATCTGTCTATGAACACTTAGGTTTTATCCACCTCTTGGTTATTGTGAATAACACTGCCATAAACATTGGTATATAAGACTCTGCTTAAGCCCCTGCTTTCAACTCTTTGGGGTATATACCTACAAATGAAATTACTGGGTCATATTGTAATTCTATATTCAGCTTTCTGAGGAACCCTGATACTGTTTTCCCCAGTGGCTGCACCATTGCATATTCCCATCAGTAATGTACCAGAGGTCCAATTTGTCCTCAACACCTCTATTACATTTTATAAGTAAAAAAATATTTTTAGAGAAAAAAGCTTTTTATGGTAATACTTTTTTTTTTTTTTTACATTTTAAAACTGTATTTATATTAGTCTAAACTAACTCTTTTTTTTTTTTTATTTTGGCATATTATGGGGGTACAGATTTTAAGGTTTCAATAAATGCCCATTTCCCCCCTGGTAATACTTTTAACAGCAGTATTTTGCCTGCCTTTTGAACAAGAGGCCCAATTTTCATTTTATACCAGACTCCACAAATTATGTAACTGCCCCTGTCTACTAGAATGCCAAAAATTAAAAAGATTGACAAGAAAAAAATGTTGTCAAAGATGTGGAGCATCTGGAATTCTTATACATATATTGTTGGTGGGAGTATAAAATGGTATAACCATCTTGCAAATTGCTCTGGCAGTTTCAATAAAGTTAAATATACATTTACCCTATGACCCAAAGGAAAGATAAATGTACACAAAAGACTCTGTTATCATGAATGAAGAAAAGATTAATTTGAAGACTATTTGAGAAGGAGAATCCTAGGAATAGTATTAATCCATAGATTAAATGAGTATGAGGGGTGAAGGAAGGAGAGAAGGGAGCATGGGATGTTTCCATATTTTTTGTTTGAGTTTTGAGTGGATGGATGAGGATGCCACCAATTGTGAATAGTGAACACAGCCATTGGAATTGGGGGAACAATGAATTTGGTTTTGAACATGTGGAATTTGAGATATCTTTCCCCCCAGTCATTATAGTTCATATTCTCTGTCTTTTCCTCTCTCACTCCCACATGGTTGACCTGCTTTCTATTGATATAGTTCTTTTCCACATAAAAGAACATTGCTTAATTTTACCCTTTCTTGTATGCCTGCACTATATGACCAATCTCATAGACCTCTGCCTATTCCACCCAGATGCCTGACCACAATTCCAGCTACATGCTTTGGACTGCTGGTTCTCATCAAGTCATGGGACACATAAACATTCACATATTTTTCTTGCCTTGTTCTTTTTTTTAGCAGATGCTCTAAGCAGTGTTTTGCAAAACAAATTTATTTACTTCTTTACTACCCAAAGTCTGTATAGTATAATTCTATATAATAATGTTTGTTATTAATTTGTAGACATATAGATCAAAAAGAACTTAAATAACAAATGGATAATGTCTTCTGACTTAGTTCTAGAGAGCAGAAGCATTACAGTATACATCCCAGGAAAGAAGTTTGGGGGCGATATCGATCAACAAATGACTTTTCCAGTTCAGTGCAGTTTTTGGACTTTTCTTGATATGGATTCCTCTTCAAGGAGAACTACACAGAAAAATAACGCTTTAATTGGTCAGATGGTAGAGTATATGTATATTTTATTATTAGAATGTTATTCAGGGCATTTTGTCACAGATTTTAATATGTCTTCTTAATGTTTTTGCTATTAACCCATTTCTATACTTTATTGGGCACAGGAACTAAATGTTTAAAAATTATTTTAAAATTGTGGTGTTTTTTAGATCAGGTGTCTGCACACTAAACACTACCACTTGAATAGATAGTTGGGGAATCTTCAATGAATGCTGTGTAAGAAAATAAAGATTTTTTTAAAAAACCAGTCATCACAGAATTCCCAGACTATTGATAAATTGCTTTAAATTATAATTATATAAACAATAATTAATAATTTTAATAATAAATTATGTGTGATGATTAATTTATAAGTATTTCCAAATTGTGAAAATGCCAAAGTTTAATGTACGTTTGTTACCCTCTGGTTTGATGTAGGATTGCAGTTTGATTCCAGCTAACCTCATGGAGGCATTTGGATTATTGATTAATTGTAATGAATCATCTCCTTGCCACCCACTTCTTCCTACGGTGCAACACACTTTAAAGAAAGCCATTGATCCTGAAAAACTGCTTTATGTAGCTTCTAAACAGTTCACAACTGAAGATTTTGAGAAGGTAAAGGTAGATAAAATGCTTGCCCTGAATACTTGTGCTAATGTTTTTCAATTTAAATAGAAGTCCCTTTGAGCATTCAGTTTTCTTTACTTAGGGTATTTTTATTCCAACTTGCTTCCAGCTTTTAAACATTTTAAGGACATTGTATAGAAATTATTTAAAGTTATAATTAAATAAACAAATGGGTAAGGAAACTTATATTAAAATGTTGAGTTTATTCACTGTCCAAATCACCATAGCTTAAAGAATCTCAATGAAAAGAAAACCAAAATAGAATATATCTATGGAAAATTATGATAGGCTATATAGATATACAGTTATTTACATTTTATAGACTATTCAAAGGGATTTACCTTATATGAATGCCTTGAGAGTTCTGACTTTAGGGAATATCTTTTTATTTTATTTTATTTTATTTTTTTATATATTTTTTAAGCCAGTCAAATTTAGCAGTGGGGCCTTGAATACCAACATTAGTGACACTAATGTTAATAAGTTCTGATAACCCATTACCATCAGACTAGCCGACTTTAGGGAATATCTAGCATGATTCACTAACTCATTTTAATGTCCTGTCATGATGAAAATGTGGCATGTTTCGAGAACTTGAGGGTAGATGATGTAAATTTAGTAATAATTCTGATAGCTATTAAAGATGCTCAAGTATTTACTACTGAAACTCTTTTAACTATTGAGAAATCTGTCCACAGTAGAGAGGAATATCTGGGTATGATAGATAAAAGGCAGGGGATATTAGAAAGTGGAAGTCCATGGGTCATTAAAAAATTGTTTTCATACCTGCCTTCCTTGTAAGCATATTACATGAGTAAAATGTTGAAAGGTGAACTTAAAAGATGAATTATGAGGATTGTTTATTCACGTGGGTTAGAATAGAAAAAGAATAATATTTATGATGTAAGATTTTGTTTTTATTTTTTAGTATATAAGAAAAAAACAGTCTATAGAAATTAGGGTACTAAATATAGACAAATTAATTACCCAGAGAAATTTTTGCCTGTTTTTTTCTGAAAAACAAACCAAAAAAACTATGGATTTGTTTATTAACTAGTCAGGTATTTACTGAATACTTAACATATACGAGCCTATTTCTGTTCTTTTGTATTCTCACAGAAACATAAACTTTCTTCTTTGAATAGTTTATCATTTTATTGAGATTAAAAAAGATACACGAAACAAGGAGCAATTAAAATACTAAGCTGAGTGGTGCTGACTACAAATATTTTAGGAATTCAGAAAGGAATTTTGTGGAATGTAGAATGCAAATGTTGGGAAGACTTCATGGAGGAGGTGGGACTTTGTGTTTTAAGAAAAGGTAAAATTTAGATGCCAGGAAGAATGGATGTTCTAAGCAGAATTAATAGTACAAGCAAAGATGCAAAAGTAGAAATTAGTATACATGGAAAACAATGAGAAGACCAGCTTTTTTTTTTATTTCGGCATATTATGGGGGTACAGATTTTAAGGTTTCAATAAATGCCCATTTTCCCCCCTCCCCCCAAAAGTCTGAGTCTCCATCATGACCATCCCCCAGATGGTGCACATCTCACTCATTATGTATGTATATACCCGCCCCACTCACCCCAGGAAGTTGGGAACTGGTGCCACGTCTGCTACAGGCTCACCGCTGGCTGGGGCGGCGGACTCTTGGGCTGGTGTCCGCAGGTCTCTCCACCCGCTGGGGAGGCCACCGGCAGAGTCCAAAATGCAGGGAGGGGGAAACAGCAAATCCACCTACCCTTGCCGCCTGGTCTCCGGGCTGCTCTCGGTGGTCTCAGCCTCCGTTTCTCCGCAGCCTCCTCCTGTGGAGTCTTCCGGGTCTCAGGTACCCCTCCTTCGGCCGGCTCGCCGCTCGGGTATTGCTCATCTTCTTGCTTCTTTCCTCTAATTTCTGCTAGAATCTGTCTTTTCTGCAGAGACACTCTGTCTGGCGGTGTTATTCATCCGCCATCTTGCTCCTATCGAGAAGACCAGCTTGATTGGAGCAAAAATTGTATTATGGAGTCATAGTGGTTTAGCAAATTTACAATAAGCCTTGAAGCACAAGCAGAAGAGTTTCTAGTTGATTTGTCAGATTGTAGAGAACAGTTGTATGCTTTACTAGGCAGGTGAAATAGCGAAAATAGTTTCTCTGGAAGATAAATCTGTCCATCACACAAATCAGAGTAGATTGGATTTGTTGTAGTCTAGACTCTCCAGAAGGCAGACTGAGATGGAGTTTAGTGTATGAAATGTGTTTGGGAGTGCTCTATCAATACCTGTGGGCTTTATAATGCCTTCCTGCACTTCAATTCAATCAGTCATATGATGTGGACTGTGGGCTGTCCTGAAGGGGCTGAAAGCTGGAAACCATCACTGACAACACGCCCAGTAGAGCTGGGGCAACAAGTCCTTTCCTGAAGGAAGATATAGGTGGCACATCATCATGCCACCAGAGGGTAGAACTTAGAGAGGGCTACTGATATTATTAATAGTAGTATTATCTAGTTCTGAAGACCTAGAGAGAATTGTGCAGTATGCAGCATAAACAGAACAAAGAAATCCAGA